GTGGCTATGCCCTTTTTGATACATGTTTGCGACATCTTTGCTTTGAATCAGTGTTTTGAGTAACACCGGAAGACTGGCACCCCTCTGACTGCATAGTCCACTGCTGTTTCAGTGATCCCACTATGCGGGTCTCTCTCCATGCTTCCGTAAATGCGCTCCATCCTGGTTGAAACACCTCTTAGCAAGCGTGCATATTTTTATGGCTCTTCGTCTTCACACATACCTGAAGATTCTGTACAAATTAGGCCCTCTTATTGCTTTTTGTATGCCTCAGTCATGACCTGGCTCTGGCATAACTAAGAGCTGCATCAGATATCATATTGAACTTTTGCAATATCCATTTCTTACTATTATTATTATTCTATTTTTGTTCTCATTAATATTGGTGCTAAATAACTTCTACCTACTCAAGACCTCTCATTTCTGGTTTCACTAATATAATCTAGCTATTTAATCTACACCAATCTAATATGTCTGTTTAGATTAGGATTTTTAAGATGCTCTAATAAGCAAGATAAGTTATTTGGAAACTTTTCTTTATTATGTTACCTTTTTTTATGATTTTTGGTGGGTTTTTTTCTAGTTTTTACCGAAGGACTTGATCAGACTATGAAATATAATGTCCTTGTAGCCTACCAAGAGGCGTGGATAGCTTACTAATAATGTAAATGAGGTGTATGGCACCATCGAGGGAGGAGGAACACGAAAATAAGGAGGAAGGCATCCTAAGGTGGGGTTGGTCAGTTTTGCCATCAGGCTAGACTTCAAATGAGTCATGTGAGAGGGGGAAGTGGGGAATCTCATCTCCATCAAGAAAGAAGAGACTCCTGAAAGGGATCACATAACAAGGTCCTGGATAGAATGGAAGAAAAAATGCTAACAAAGCTCAAAATGATCAAAATAGAACAGGCTATCTGGTTGGATAGAGACTAGCTGACCCCTCAGATTATGATCTTCCATTACCCTTCAGCCCAGAAACTGAACTAATCATTGGCTCAATTTCCAACTGGACAATACAAAGGTCTATAAAATGAACAATAATTTTAGGGAGGCACTCACTCCTTGGAATAGGGATTGGGGAACTTTTTTCTGCCAAGGGACATTTGGATGTATATAACATCAATCTTGGGCCATACTGGTCAAACTTTCAATTAACTCACCCCTAATGAAAAGGCTGAAATGTTTCTTTGGTGAGGAATGTGATATTAATTGATGTCAGTGATCTCATGGGGCTTATAGGGGATCACATTGGACATTCCATGTCCCTGCCTGAGAATCCTCAACCATTTGAGCTCAAAAAGACTTGATTTGCATAAGAAGTTCAGAAGTGTTAGGAAAGAAGGGAAAAACGGAAACACAGGGAAGATATTGGATAGTGATGTTACCTTGTGAGGTTTGAAATCAAAGGCAAGAAACAAAATCTGTATGAATTGCTGAATGGAAAACTGATTTGCTCTGTAAATATTTGATGAATTGACCATAAAAGGTTTCAGAAAGAATAAGGAAAAAGAGCTAAGAGTGAAGCACACTTCCTTTGGAGCCTAAATACCTGGGCTGAACCATCTCAATCTAGGTCCCAGAAAGCTATAATACCAGGTTGGTGAAAGCCAATGAGAAATGACAGCAGAGAAATGGTGGCAACAGATTCAGCAGATACAGCAGAACCGGGAGGTAGGCACAAAACAGAGAGGTGAGCTTCTTAGCCCACAGAGAAAGGCAGGAACTGAGGCTTGCTGGTGGAGTGGAGTGCCTCTGGGCACTTACTCAGCAATGCTAAAAGAGCTTTGTAACACTTGCGTGTGCAATGCAGAGGTCAAGGGATGGAGGATCCCAGAGATGAAGGTCCAGATAGAGTGATGCATGTGGGCATAGCTGAGAGGCGGCTGTTCTGATTGAAGACATGGATCTTATGTGTTCCTGGTGATGCACCCTAACCTGTTACATACCTAATAATCCCATACCTATGAGTATTATGTGTGGGTTCTTTGTGGCCACCGCAATGAATGATCAAAACCAGAGAATGCCTTAGGATGGAAGGTTGGTGTCAGATTTGTTGAAAAGGTCTGAGGGTGGAGGATCATAGGGCTCAATCTCATGCAAATTACCTTGACAGCAGATGCTGATGAACTAGATTCCCTTTATTCCCAATGTATTTAAATCAAACTTCTTTCTATAGTCAATCCCAACTCATAGTAACCTTTAGTAGGGCTTCTGAAACTGTAAACCAATGTAAACAAAGAACCCATTTGTCTCCCCAGTGGTTGTTGGTGGGTTTGAACCATTGACTTTGAGGTTAAAAGTCAATGTTTAACTAACACTGTCACCAAGTATCCTATGCCAGTTTTAGAACATTGTTTAATAATGAAATTGATTTATATTTAAATCAATCAGACATCTTTGATATTTAAATATCATTAGTAACAAAATAAGTCACATTTTACAACTAATTGAAGTGCTCCAGTAGTTTGCCTTATGGTTAGTCATAACCCTTGAGCATGATGAAATGTTCTTATTTATACAATGTGGGGAAGCTGACTTAAATTTTGTCCTCCTTGAATTGGTGAATAGATCTATCAAAATCCCCTGAGAAATAGTGCCTCTGTTTATAGCTATCTGGTAAGAGGATTTAAGTGGAATTGCTACTACTGCTATTACTACAACCTAACAACCGAAGCCCCTCTGGGAGCTGCTGAAAGAAGATGCTCTCTTCTCTCTTTCACAAACTGTATTCATTAAAATCTACCCAAGCCAAAATTAATTGAATCATATATGCTTATATTTCAGAGAACGATAGATCCAGCTTTCAAGTCTCATAAGGAAGGTGATGAATGAAATATGTTCAGGGGAAAAAACTTGGCATTGGCAGATAAGGCTCCATTTAAAACTGATTTTAGCTTCCTTGTGCCCAGTCTTCTGTGAATGTAAAAGAATAAAGGGAATATGTGAAAGGCTAACTTTCCTGAATCTAGATACGGCAATGACATTTAGTTTGGGGCAATCGGCTATAGGCAGGAAAAGCTGGAGAAGATTTCTAAATGCCCAACCAAAATCTCATGTGTTGATTCTTCTTCTCTGTTATTCGTCTTCATTTCTGTTTTTCTGTGGGGAACTGAGAATGGTGAGTCCTGCCCTCACTATGGCAGAGCAAACTCCTAATAGATCATACCACCCTAAGATAACAAAAATGAACTTTTGAAGGAAAGAAAAATTGAACAAAAAGAAAATAAAGATTTCTAGAAGATCTAGAGAATGAATGAAAGTAAGCTGTTGGAAGGACATTGGTACTTCACTTAAGGTACCAACATGGCTTGTGTCACCTATTTTTAAGGCTTGTGGCCTAAACCAAACTCACCGCCATTGAGTCAATGCTGACTCATCGTGACCCCCTGTGGGTTTTGGAGACTGTAACTCCTTATGGGAAAAGAAAGCCCCATCTGTCTCCCTTGGAATTGCTGGTGGTTTCTAACTGCCAATCACAGCCGAACGCATAACAACTACACCACCAGGAGTTCCAGGAGCAATCCAAATTCAGCCCTATGTGACTGTTGAGTTCCTAATTGGAAGAACCAATATAAAAATGTCAATGCTAAATAAAGACTCCCAATGCTCTTTATAAGACTTTAACACAACACAAGATATCCAAAAATCACTTAATATAGAAAGTTGGAGGGAAATGTAATTCATTCTCAAGATTTGAAAAAGAAAGTAAATAAAACTTTACCTTTTTGCTCTGACTTTGGAATTAACAGATAATAACTATCAAAGCAATTGTCAAAACTAATATAAATGAGATAAAGGGAAATGGATTAATTATAATTGTAAAGATGGCAAATCTCAATAAAGAGTTACAAACTAAAAAACAAAATTCTAGAACTAAAAATTATAATATGAAAAAATCTGATAAAATTTTCATTTTAATTAAGCTAAAGTTTGTTTTGTTTCTGAATAGATTTAAAACTATAAGAAATAAAAAATCATTGTATTATCTTAACACTGAGATAAAACAAGATACACCAAATAAGTCTGTCACAAGTTTTCAAGGATATAATTGTGCTTATGTTTGTGTATATATATATATATGCACATATATATAGTTATGAGTATATATGTATATATAAAAAGGTAAGTAAAAAATATTGCCACTAGGGTTCTCGTTCATACATACATAGATTATACCAAACAAATTGTGTTTTTAAAAAATGAGTGGATGACAGCATACATGTTCTATCAGGAATATACTTCTTTTATTCTCATTCAGGTATCTTTTTAAAAAGAGGGTGACATTTTATCAATGGCTTCCAATGAGATCTGCTAGGCCAGGTAAATTCAAAGCAGAGCAATGAGCTCAGATGATTATGGTAACTTTATTTTGGATTTTGAAAGAGGAATCTTGATGCATTTTCTCAAAGGATATAAATCGTTCAAGGGGGCTTATTAAGAAGAAGTGTTAAGAAAATTTAAACTTTCAATGAGGAAAAACCAAGAAAATTGTGCTGAGAATGCCAAAAACAAACTTCTTGGTGGTATGTTGTAAACCCAAGATATAGAATTCTTCATGGAAGAGTTAGAGAGATAAAAATAATACCTTCAGAATTGTATAAACCTAGATGGGAAGATATGTCAAGAAATAATAGTTTCAATTTTTGCTATTTTTATTTAATAACGTTTCCAATGATTTTGTAACAATACTTTTGTCTTATTCTTATATGTATGGAATAGTTATCATCATTCCAGATCTTTCAGAATAAAATTATGCTCCATATGTTCTCCATACACTGCTCTCTCAGAAATAGATGGCCAAACATTTTGCTGGGGAATCTATGGGTGATTTCGAACCTCCAACCTTGTAGTTAGCAGCTGAGAATTTTAATTGGGACTCTATATAAGAAAAAATTGGCCCTACACATTAGCAATCATATAAAAACCCTTGCAGAAACTTCTGCCTCCAGTTGGGCTCCACCTGGAAGATTAAATTTTGAATGTCCTGAGAGGTCAGATTGCCGTCAGTATCTCTTCCTGTAGACATGGCCCCTGGACATGGACATGGACATGGACATGGCCATCATAAAATGGAACTTCCAGATTATAGACAGTGGAAGATAGAAGGGACACCATTAGAAATTGTCCAGGAGAAGCTGGCTGCACAGGGGCTAAGAGATCCACGGGGCCGCAATGAAGCTTGGAGATACATGGGTGGATTGGCAAACAATGTTTCCTTTCTTGGTGCAATATTAAAAGGATTCAAATGGGGATTTGCTGCCTTCGTGATAGCTGCAGTTTCTGAGTATTTCCTGGAGTCCCAGCTTAAAGATAAGAAGGATCACTGAAACCAGTTCCTGGAAATATACTAGTGGCTTCTTAATCTCTTATAGAAATAAGATATCTATACCATAACCTCCTTTTCTGTGTGTTTGTTCATTAAATATAACAAGTAAGATGTAATAAAATTTAAGAAATAGAAATAAAAACCCATGTAGAAAGACAGGGCATTTTGTGAAAAGAAAATCGATAGCTGATATTTAATATAGATCAAATCCACTGCCAATGAGTCTATTTGTTTTGGCAAGACAATAGGACAAAATAAAGCAAACACACACATACACAATCTTTATAAATGAAATCTAACAGAAAATACTAGTCTATGAATTATAATGGGAATTACAAAACAAGATGAAATTAGGAAGGAATCTCTAATGGTAAGACATTTATTGTACTTTTGCTAAAATGTGCTAAAATGAAAATATACAGTTCTAAGTGTGTATAATAAGAAATATTAAAATTTAATTGGCCAAGTTTTCTCCTTAAGAGTCTATAAAAGAACAATACAACAAATTTAAAATATTATAAAAAAGATAAAATAAACATAAAAAGTAAGTTTAATATACAGAATGCAACATATAAAGAATTTTTTTTTTGAAAATGACTACAAAAATCCTGACAATATTAACAAAGAATATGTAGAAGATAGTATAATTTTAGAAATACTTTGGAAATTAATGAGGCTATAACTAGAAATAATGTGGACATATATTGAGGAACATTACAAAAATGTGCTGGATTATAGGTTGACAATAGCAAAAGATGTAACTTCTCCAATCAATCTATACGTTTAATACAATGTCAATGAAAATATTAGTAAGAGCTTTTGTAAAAATGTCTAGCAAAAGATAAAATGTAGCTAAATTAGATATTCATAACAATGATTAAGAAGAAAATTGAAAATGAAATATTCTCTCAAAATAGCAAACATTATTACAAAGTATCAGTAATTAGAACCATATAGTATTAGTTACATGAAAATTTAGTTCTAGTACCTCATTTTAGAAATTTAAAAATAAAATAATTGAGACTCATCAGTGGAAATAATTTATTCAATTCTCAGTGAATTAGTGGCTGAGTTAAAACCAAAACCCTGGTGCCTGAATACCAGTTTGGACTCTGTCTACTGTAGTACAGGTTACCCGAGCACATGGTATCAACCCAATATGAAGTCCTTTTCTGAGTAGATTCCCACTCATGGCCATCGTATGTGTGCAGAGTAAAACTGCTTCATAGGTCTTCTGGGCTGTCATCTTAATGAAAGCAGATCACCCCATCTGTCTTTGGAAGCACGCTGGGTGGATTAAACAAACAACCTTTAGGTTAATAAGCCAAACTAAACCCACTACCATCAAGTCTTGCTGATTCACAGAGACACTGTAAGACAGGGTAGAACTGCCCCTGTGAATTTCCAAGACTGTAACTGTTTACGAGAGTACAAAGCCCTATCTTGTGGATCACAGCCCAATGCATAACCCCTAGTTAACTGCAAGCTAGTATAACCCATTGCTTCCCATTGCTTCAGACTCATACTGACACTCTAGGCAGGCTAGGCTCTGCTGTAGCAATGACCTCCAAATTTCAAGGACATAAAATTCATTTTGTTTTTGTATAGATTACATGTCTATGTGAGCTCGTATGAAAGGAGGATCCTACATAGTCACTCAAGGATCCAGGTTGACGGAGCCTCGTTATTGTGCAGTTAGAGTGGTGGACGTTCCATCTCCATTCCATCTCCATCGTTGCTGTGTGGGGATCCAGAAGAGCCTAGAGAACTCCACAGAGGCTTTGTATTACCTGCGCCCCAAATTGGCACACATCCATCCATTCAAGTTTCATTGGTGGGAACTTACCATCGGGGATAAGTTGCCTGACTGAGAAGTAACTGGGGAATATGTCAATCATGCTAAGGAAGGAAAAACATGCTGGATATAGATGCTTTCAGGATTACAACTACCATGTAGTACAGTGAGGATAATTAAATTGCTTACCAGTTCTATTGGTTTGTCTTTCATTGATGCTTCCAGTTTGGGGAAGCATCCTAAGTATGAGTCTATGGCACTCTCCAAGTATTTGAACGACAAATGCATGATAATGCCAACCACATCAAAACATTTGACTCTGTGTGGTTGGAAGAATAAGCACAAGAGAAGCCAAGCAATCATTAGGCAGCTTGTCTGCAGTTCCCACAGATCCGCTTTACTCCTGGAGTGGAAGAAGGCACATCCTGATTTCATCAAATGGTAACTTCTTGATGGGAAAAGTTTGACTCAGTTTCCCCAATATCCATCCCTTTTATAGCAACCGGTGTTTGTGTCAAGGAAAACAGCAAAAGCAAAAATAAATAATGAGTAAATTCATAGAATTTTAAAAATTCTTTTTTCATCAAAAATAGATTTCTGCCTTAATATAATTTAATTAAATTGTAAGCAGAAAATATTGTGTTTTAAATGATTTTATGGCTGTTTTATTCTTTTAAATCTGTATAAGTTACACCAGAGAAACAAGTTCAGTCAATGCATTAGTACATATTAGTCACCAAAACCAAAAGATGTTCTGAAACTGGCATAGTTTCTTTGAATCTAGTTTATTAAGATGCCACAAAATGTAAGCTGCAGATACTCTTTGAGTGAGGAATGAAAATGTTTAGGATAAAATAAAGATAAAATCCTCCAAACTGGCAACTGTACCCACCCATATGTGTCATGTATGCATAGAACACACATGTGCTATAGTCAAGAGACTAGAATGCTATTCATGAAGATCCTTGAGTGGCAAAAATAGTTTGTGCTAGTAAGGTTCGGTGCTTGAACTGATAGTAAGATATTTTGTAAGATATCTTACTGTTAGTGCCACAGGCCAAAGGCCCGAAGACTACAGCCAACAAAATCCTTAGAAGCAGTTCTACGCCGTAACACCGGGGGTACCATGAGTTAGATTTATCTGGATGCCAATGAAATTTGTTGTTACTTTTGCTGCAATTAGTGTGTTGATATACCCGGTGTTTGGGGAAGCCATACCATGCCTTATTCTAAAGCATGTAGGGGAGTCCAAAGCACTGAGTCAGAATTCACTGCCATCGAGTTGATTCTGACTCACAGAAACCTAGATATAGGACCCAGAACAGAAATACTTCGTGTGTTTTTCAGGATATATATATATATATATTTGAGTTTCAACAGGCAGAGCTTAGCTTAAATTCTTATTTTTTTAATCATTTTATTGGGGCCTCCTACAAATCTTATCACAATCCATACATACATCCATGTGTCAAACACATTTGTACATTTGTTAACATCATCAATCTTAAAACATTTGCTTTCTACTTGAGCCCTTGGTATCAGCTCCTCATTTTCCCCCTCCTCATCTCCCCACCATGAACCCTTGATAATTTATAAATTATTATTATTTTGTCATGTCTTACACTAGCCGACTTATACTTTTCTGTTGTCTGTCCCCCAGGGAGGAGGTTATATGCAGATCCTTGTAATCAGTTCCCCCTTTCTATCCCTCCTTCCCTCCATCTTCCCAGTATCGCCACTCTCAGCACTGGTCCTGAATGGATCATCTGTCCTGGATTCCCTGTGTTTCCAGTTCCTGTCTGTACCAGTGTACATCCTCTGGTCTAGC